GATGAAATGAAAGTGTTTGGCAGCAATCCTAACGATTTCGATGATGAGAGACGACGGTTTTGCGTATCCCATGACTTTATGGTGGAACCAATAAAATTAACAAGAACTATTATTATAATTAAAAATAAATTAATAATCAAATAAAATAATATTTAGTATATGAAGAAAATAATAAATTAAAAGTAATAATCCAATAAAAAATAGTTTAAAAAAAATTACAAAAATTAACTAAAAGATAATAATAATCCAATAATATAATATTTAGGATATAAATATATATATTAAAAACTAGATTTATTGATATATAATAATTCAATAAAAAATAATTACTTCGACAATTGTTTTTTTCAAAAAAGAATTAACTAAAATAAATTAATAATCCAATAAAACATTATTTAGTATATGAAGAAAATAATAAATTAAATAATCCAATAAAAATAATTTTAAAAAAAAGAATTAAAAATATTAACTAAAAGAAATTAATAATTTAATAATATATTTATTATGATATAAATATTATATATTAAAAACTATATGTATTGATATATAATAACTTAATAAAAAGAATTACTCTAACAAAAAAAAATTAAAAAAAATCAACTATAATAAATTAATAATCCAATAAAACAATATTTATTAATATATAATATTATATATTAAAAATAATATTTATTAATATATAATACTTCAATAAAATAAAAAAGAATGTATGCAAAAATGGTCCTTATGGTATGGTAAAAAGACAAAACTGCGAAAATGGTCCCTGAGGGTAAAATTGTCATTTTAAAAAAGTTAACAGCCAACCAGTTAAACTTAACGGATGAGGGACCAAAACCACAATAAAACTTGTGGAAAAGGACCAAATCTGCAACTTTTCAAACGTTTGGACCATAACCACATAAAATAAGAAACCACGAGGACCATTTTTGCAATTTTGTCATATATATATATATATATATATATATATATATATATATTCATTTCTGTGTTCCGTTTTTTTATATTAATTCAAAAATCATTTTATATTATTTTTGTTATGACAGGGACTACAAAGAGGAAGGAGCTACATGGAACCACACCCATTCGTGCACTATCAGGGACTTGGGGAGACAAAATTGATGATGGGGCGAATTTTTTTGCTTACAAAATCATTTTCTCATGTAGCATTGTCGATGTGCAATATTCAAGTTTCGTTCTTTTGGTTGAATCTAAACTAGATGATGATGTTGGCAATATTGAAATTGAACTGTACTTGGTTTCAAAATTTGTGAAATGCATTGTTTCTTCATGTGTGGAGTTGCATCTCAATGGAGAACAGGTATGAGCAAAAACTTATGTTTAACACTCACTTAAAAATAGTTTGTGAAAGGCAAGGTTTTAGGCAGGACAAAAAGCTGCAATTTTTGTCCCAATGAAATCAGTCCCAGTCATACTCCATGTCATCCGGGCCATATCCTATCATGTGTAACAAATGTTCAATCATTGACAAATCTTTTTTCTTTGGTAACTCTTGACCTCCATCTTTTAATGCTATGTTTTTGGTTTCTTTTGCTAGATATCAAAAGCAAAGTGTTTCCAAGAAGTATTCTTCAATGGAATATTTGGGAAGTTGGATATTGGATCCAAACAAACAACATTGTGGAGCTCATCATACATTTACTTATTGTTGCCTTTGGAGTCATTAGAACCTTTAACAATCAATTGGAAGGCAATTGACTCTAGTGTATCCGCTGTTGACTTCATCAAGGCTCGTAATGACACAAGTGAAGTAAAGAGTTTGGATTTAGTCATGATTGATTCCAATTGCACAGATATGGTTCACTTTGCAAACAAATCCTTTCACAAAGATAACATAAAAGACGTTGTAGTTTTGGCTTTTCACACTGGGAAAATCTACACGGTTCTCGAGGTGCTTGAAAATGAAACCGCAGATAGTCCTTTTGATGGAAATAGGTTTTCATCATTCACTGACTATTTTGACAAGAAGTATGGAATTGTTCTACAACACCCGGGACAACGCATGGTGCTGCTAAAGCAAAGCCATAAGGCACATAATCTTCTTGTGGACTTCAATAATGAAGGTTTCTTGAAATATACGATGTGATGATTTTAACCATATAAAATCGAATTTGTTAGTTAATGATTTGTTTGTTGGTATTTTTAGGTATTTTACATGGAAAGAAGATACGGGCTGATAGTTGTAAGGTGAATACAGAGAGGCAGAGATACAATGCGCGTATACCACCTGAACTTTTGGTAGTTATTGATGCAAGGCTTGATGTTGTGAAACCCTTTTATTTGCTACCTTCATTCATGCATCGCCTTGAGTCCTTGATGTTGGCTAGCCAGCTTCGTCAACAGATCACTGCCCATTCAACTGACATACATGTCTCCAGCTCATTGGTTTGTACTTTTATCTTCATTGAAGCTTTGTGGGTTGTACTTTAGACATACATCACTACCCCAAGAGTACAACCCACAGCTGCATATCTGAAGGAATGTTTGCCATACCATTAATATCATGACTCTTGTCTCCTTTTAGATTTTAGAAGCCATCACGAGTCTTCGATGCAATGAAAGTTTCTCCATGGAACGATTGGAGTTGCTTGGTGATTCGGTGCTGAAATATGCAGTCAGTTGTGATCTTTATCTCAGATACCCAAACAAACATGAAGGACAGCTGTCTTCTCGGAGATCATGGCAAGTTTGTAATTCCACCTTGTACGATTTGGGAATAGGCGTCCATTTACAGGTATGCTCTAAAGATTGTAATCCATTGCTAATAATATCAGCAAAATCTCTGAAACAAAAATTTCTTGAATTGTTTACAGGGTTTCATAAGAGACAGTGCATTTGACCCTACTCGATGGACAGCGCCAGGTCAGCATCCTTTAAGACTTTACCCGTGTGATCATGGCATCGAGACGGCAGATGTGCCTCTCGACAGCAAATACCAGAGTGAAGATATGAAAACTTTACTTGGAAAGTGGTGTGATGTGGGCCACAGGTGGATGGGTTCAAAGACAATATCGGACTGTGTTGAGGCCCTTGTGGGAGCTTATTATGTGGAAGCTGGTTTGACAGGTGCTCTTCACTGTATGAAATGGTTGGGCCTGAGCTGTGAGCTTGATGAATCGCGCATCAATGAAGCCATTAAAATGGCTTCACTTCATGCATACACCCCAAAACTTGAAGTGCTTGAGTGTGTAGAGTTGAAGATTGGGTATGAATTTGTGGTGAAGGGTTTGTTATTGGAAGCCATAACTCATGCATCTGGTCAAGAGCAAGGAGTTGGATACTGTTATCAGGTACAATTTCTTATTACTTTGCCTATCATTCCTTTTTTTATTACAACAACATGATAATAATAATGTTATACTTTTAGAGGTTGGAGTTTCTTGGGGACTCGGTGTTGGACATACTGATTACTTGGTATCTGTACAACAAACACAAAGACATTGATCCTGGAGAACTAACGGATCTACGTTCGGCTTCAGTTAATAATGAAAATTTTGCATATGCTGCTGTGAGACGCAACCTTCATCACCACCTTCAGTATCGCTCTGGCTTTCTCAAAACTCAGATTGAAGAGTATGAGAAGTTTGTGGCCACCTCTTCCACTGATACAAACTCTCTCCAAACCAAGAAAAGCCCAAAAGTCAGTTTGCCACTTCTCATCTTCTATTTCTTGCATAAACTGGACACTAATAGTGATTGATCTAAATCAAATGGAGCATTCTTGAAAAAATGTGATTCCTTGTTTAATTGGTTTGTGATGTTTGTGTTTGTTGTTATATAGGCACTTGGTGACCTGGTTGAGAGCATTGCTGGGGCTATACTAGTTGATACCAAGCTCAATCTTGATGAAGTTTGGAGAATCTTTGAGCCATTATTATCTCCAATTGTAACACTGAATAAACTTGAGCTTCCTCCTCTACGTGAATTGATGGAGTTATGCGACTCAATGGGTTATTTCACGAAAGAAACGTGTAGAAGCAATGGTGATATGGTAATTTCTGAGCTAAGGTTGCAGCTCAAAGACGCCTTGTTGGTTGGTAATGGAACGGGTCAAACCAGGAAAGTTGCAAGGGGTCAAGCTGCTCTTCAATTGTTAAAACAGCTAGAGGTTTTTAGGGTTTTCTTTTTATTATATTCTTTTTGCCTTGCAATTATTAACCTTGTCTTGGACATGTTTATGTGATTTAATTCGACAGAAAAAGGGGATTTTGAGGAAGGATAATCAAGATGGGGAAAGTGATAATGAAAAAAATAAGAAAAATGAGACAACCCCATCAAAGATAAGCCCTAATAAGGATGCTAAGATAACTCTGTTTGATCCTCAGCCATCAATGGAGGAGGAATTAGAATCTAATTCCAAGGTTGAAATCCCAGTCCCAGGTAATCAATCATGATAGATGATAGATGTTTGTTTGTTTTGATCTACAACAAGTTTTGAATTTGATGTTGGTTTGAATGGCATGGCAGTGATAGAGTGTATCAACATGAAGAAGGGAGGACCAAGGATTGCACTTTATGAGCTGTGCAAGAAAATGCAGTGGCCCATTCCCAATATTACAGCATCAGAACAAAGATCAACGTTAGTAAAAATTTATTGTTTGCTTCATATTATTTGTACATGAATGAGACAAACAGCTTCCAAATGAATAATGAATTTGCAGATCTCTGGTTGAAATTGGGGAAGGGGTTGAGAAAAGAACAGGGTTTAATACCTTCAAGTCACATATCAGCTTGACTATTCCTAATTATGGTGTTATACAACTCACGGGGGACCCACGTGCAGATAAGAAGACTTCTTTTGACTCTGCTGCCTTACTCATGCTCTATGAGCTCCAACGACTCGGAAAGCTCAAAATTGGCTAGAAGAATGAAAGTGGATATGTTTGTAGATAAATAAATAAAAGGATTTAATGGAGGGAAAACTTGCTTTCTCTCATATTTTCAGTATTAAGTCAAAAATAAACATCCATACATAATACATAGCTTACTAGAATAAGTCTTGTTCTCATAAATGAGGTCAAATTGGAACAAGAACTATGATCTGGTCAACAACTCGTATACATTTTTATTGTGGTCCCCGGATACACGCTTGAGCATTTGAAACCTTCTTCGACTCCCTAAGAAGTCAATGCGTTTGACTTCCACAGCTTCTTTGGTGGAGTAGTTTGACCGTAGCCGTTCAGCATGGCGGGAATCAGTGTGGATGGCTAACTCTATCTCGGATGTTGACATCTTCTCCTAACAACAACAAATGTTGAATAGTGAGTTTTAAGCAATGAGTTGACTCAGTCTAATTGTTGGGTTACTGGCTCAACAATACATAAGAGAAAACCGTTTACCTGATAAAAGGTAAAGACGTGATGTAATAGCTGCCAACATGTGAAGCCTGTGTTACTGAAGAACGTCCTCGAACACGGGCCCATCTCCCCAAACCGGTCCACTGGAAACAATATTGTAATGAAATGGTTCCCAAAAATCAACTCATTCTTTTCCCTGCACCAAAAAGAACAAAAAAAAAATCTATATATAAAAAAATATCATAACATAGAGATACAAATGGGCCAAGCCTTGTGACCTTACCAAATCAGCACAAGGTAAAAGAAAAGAAAAGAAAAGAAAAGATGATGTGAAAAAGTAACCTTTCCGAGAGTGGTTGCAAGAAGTTCACGAAACAAGCATCTGGAACAGATGTGTTGGCATCATCAATACTGAATGAGTTGTTGTTACAGATATATGCGGTTGATGATGGCTCTGACATGATCCAGTTTATTGAATCCAGAAGGACGTTTGGAGCTGATGGTTTTATCGCCTGGGCACGGCGATTCCTAACTCTCATTTTAGCATGCATTGCAATGTTTTGATTTTCTTTATGGCTAGATTTCATGATATTTCCATCCTAAAATTCATAAAGTTACATATACAATAACAATATGCAATGATTAATAGAAATCATTAGTATCTAACATTTACTTTTTTTTTTTAATTGAATTGCAAATTGATTTGCCCATGTTACCATTTGTTGCAAAGACTTGTCACTCGATCAAGTCAAGTCATTTACTTTATATTACTTTGTTATATTATTATTAATTTATTTTAATAATATTATCATATCGTTCTTATTGATTCATGAAATTGTATATCTAACTTTTTATTCTAGAAAAGTGCTTAGTTTATGGTTAAATTAAAAGTGTAATAAAAATGAAATATTTTTTCATGATTTTATTATTTATTTTAATAATTATTTTATTAAGTAAATAAAATATTATTGTATCAATGTTAATATTTGACTAAGTATAAATGATTAAAATGTGTAGGATGTATGTAACCAAAGAGCTTATAGCCTAAGCCGTAAGGTTAGGGTATCTTAGTTGGAAAGGCGGGCATGAGGGGTCAAATCTTGTTTTAGACACGAAGGTCTAATTTAGAAGTAGATTAGTAGCCTTTCAAAAAAAGGACCTGAAGTTTAATTTTCTGAAAGTTTTTATAGTAAATTAAATTACTATTAACCCCTGTAGGGACCTACGTCAATACTATTGCCTTGTTGGAACTTGGAAGCATTGATATGCTACTTATGAAAGGTTTTTATGTAAGTTGACCAAAATACCATTTTGCTACGGTAGATACAACAAAATTAAACTGGGATTTTATACCTTTTGATCATTGCCACCTGGAACATTCCGCATCGTCATTCCTAGGTGGCGTGCCAAGTCAGCAGACAAATGGACAAGCCTCTGTGTCCTTGCCTCCTTCACAGTCTTCAGAAACCATACAGGCTGTGGTACATCATTTGGTAGTGATCATTAAAACATATATATATATATATATATATATATATATATATATATATATATATATATATATATATATATATATATATATATATATAGATGATGAGCTATATATACGTATCATATAAATTTTGTAAAACTTACAGTAACAAGATTATTGTTGGATTGACCGAGATACTTTCCAACCGAAGAAGCTTCACATACCACATGAGTTGCATGTTGACCAACCAACCATTCATTCACTAGCAAACCACCTTCCTCCCTAGCAGCCTCCACAACCTTGTTCCTCAGCTCACCCGAAACATCGGGATCAACATACACGCTTTCACCCGAAAACATTGAACCTCTTCTTTTCTTTTCTTCTAAATGTAATCTTGATCTTTGTATCAATTTAGATTCTTTAACATTATCCACCATAGCATTAGGAAGACAAGAATTTCGGTTTAGATCCTTCTTCGCCATATAATCCTCTCCAAAATTCTTAACACCGTATAATGATTCGTTCAATCTCACTAAACACAAGAAAAAAAGAGCAACATTAGTTTCGACGAAAAGGGCTATTCTTTTGGGAAGTCTTGAGCTGGCCCACAAGCCCAATCATCACAAAGAAGAATTGAATTTGAAGTATATATATATATTTTACCGTTTTTTCTTACGCTATCAACAAACCATCCAAGTGTAACGATGAAGAGATCGTGCTTTGATGCATACTCAGATTTACGTTCATGGAAGCTGTAGATATTCGTTAAGTTACTCATCAAGATCATATACTCTCTCCATTTCCTTTCCCAAAAAGAGTTTTTTAGATTAACTGATAATATTATGTTGATATGGGTTCTTCACAAGATCTTTTTGTTAGATATTTAATTTGACAAATAGTTATTTGGCATAATTATTCAAGTGTGTACACTTTGGGTATAAATATGAAACTAAAAATGGAAAAAGGATATCTGAACCACCAAATGTGTACACTTTGGATGTAAATGGGAACTAAATTGACCACCCAATCTCTCAGTTGCATGCATCACTTGTTTTCTTGCTTCTGTGAGTCGGTCAACATCAAGAAGAAAATCATAGAAAATGTCAAAGATATGGCCAGCAAGACTTCTTCTAAATCTTATGTAAGACAAGTAGGTGAAACCAAACAGAAGAGTTCGTTAATTCAAATAAATTAATAATGAATGCACTTCATGACACAAGAATGGAAGATGTAAATAAAAACAAGAACATTAATAAGTCCAAAAACCATACTTGTGTCGACTTTTGTGGTCAAAGTAATCAATTTCACCATTCAAAATTTAGCATCATGCAAATTAAAAAGAGAAGAAGGGATTGTGTTCGATTATGAAAATACTGAAGTTTTAAATTTCAAAGTAATAACATAATCATTTAGGCGTGAATTTAAAAATAACCTTTCATCATAGCAAAAGTCAAAGTTTTTCGTTGGTGTTGTAACAAAAATCAAAAGAAAGATCAAAGATGCATGGCATGTTCTAAATATGTAAGTTGTTGAATCAAAAGGGAAAGAGGCGAATCGAAATCATAAAACATTATTTCATTGTTCATAAAGGTTGCAACTTTTATAAAATTCAAATTGTTTGACTACGAGTCAAAATATCCAAGAACACCAAGATCAATATGATTACAAAGATAATAAGTACTTTAAATCGTTGAAATTTGTACGATAGAGAGATGACAAAAAATAAAACAGATTGATCAACCAGAAACGGTTAAAGAGCAAAAGAGAGATGATTAAAGGAAGATTGAATCACCTTTGGATAGACCAGTAACACAAATAACAAGACCAGAAAATGGGGAATTCGAGGTAGAACGAAGAAGAGGAGGACGTGGAGGTTGAAGATGAAGATCTCTGGAAGAATTAGTATTCAATGTACAATTTATATCTGAATACATCTTTGAACAACCATTGCTAGTGATCACCTCCGATATACCACTCCCAACCATCGTATTTCAATAATTTAACGACAAATCTGAGATGGGTGTTCAAGATTTTTGCATAATTGACATGGGATTTTGAACTTAAACCAAATACCACATGGGTTTAGGATTTAAACAGGAAATACAAAACAGAAAGATGAAATTGAAGTGGGGTTTTGAAAAGAATAGAGAAAGGGGAAGCTTTTTATACGGAAAACACATAAACAAAGAGAATGAAGAATGAAGGGAATGTTGGAATGGTGAAAAAGGAGACGAGAAAGTAAGGGAATATCTATTGGAGATTGGTATTCAAATTTATGAAACCAAGAAAGGCTCTTTGTGTCAATTTTTCAGAAATTTGCACAACAAAGTGATAGTAAGCATGAGTTCTTAATGCTTTTTACACTTTTTTTTCTGGTGGTGTCGGGTCAAGAAAAGAAGAATTTGGGTGGTATTAGAAGCGACGAGTGAGGGAAAAAGGGAAGTGAGGGACTTTATGATGGGTCTTTTCAGAATCACGCCATGGCAATCTTTTGTTCATCAATACGAAGTAATCTCCACCTTTTTTTTTAATCTCTCTCCACCTTTTAAATAAGATTACTATTCAATCTATTATTATTAAATACGTGAAAAATTATTATGTTCATGCCTATAAAATGCTTTATAACAGACAAACCCTTGAGAATCAATTACCTTAGCTTAACAAAACCGAAATCGAAAACAAAGAAACCGATAAAAACCTGGCAAAACCAAAACCAAACCCAAATCGTTGGTTTTGAGTTTAGATTTTTAAAACTGAAAAGTTCGGTTTTGGTTCGCGATGAACTTTTGTTCCCGACACACAAAACCAAACCGACCCAATATATAAAATCAAACCATAAAGCGATACCAACCTATACATTATATAATATAATATATTATTAATAATTATTGTATAATTATAAGTTAGAACTAGAAGCATAAGTTAGTGCTTAAGCATGAGTTAATACGTTTAATATATTATGAATAATTATTGTATACTAACTTACTAAGTTGAAACCGAAAAACCAAAACCCAACGACCCATTGGTTGAAACCGAAAGCCGATCTAAGAAACCAAAAACCGAACTCATTCAAAAATCGTACCTAATTAGGGGTGTAAACGAGCCGAGTACTACCAAGCTCGACGCTCGGCTCGACTAAAAGACTCGAGCTCGAAACTTGGTTCAAACTCGACCCAAGCCTTGATTTTAAGCTCGAGCTTGGGTCGTGAAATACTCGACAATCTCGAGCTCGGCTCGGCTAATATTTAAAAAAAAAATCACTAACTTGAGTAAAAAATATTAAAATATTCCACATGCATATGTCCAAACTACCAAAAAATATCACAATTAACCGCCTAATATCAATACATCATCAACAATATATGTCATAACTTTTACATACTTCCAAAATACCAAAAATAAACATTATTTAAAGAAATGACATATATGTAAATTACACTAAGCTCGATTAAGCTCGCGAGCTTTACTAGCCGAGTATTTTAGTGTTCAAGCTCGGCTCGATAAGATACTCAAGTTTGGCTCGATTAAGGTCGAGTCGATTTCGAGTATTTTCTGAGTCGGTTTCGAGTTTCTCGCGAGTTGGTTTGTTTGGCTTACACCCCTATACATAATGGGTTTCGAAAGCCAAAAGTTGGACTTGTCAGTTTAGTTTCAGGTTTACCCCAAAACCGGCCCATGCTCAACCCTAAGAAAAACCTAACCAATTATAACTCATTGCACAAAAAAACTATTATGTTATTATTTTGTACAATAAAACTGTTTTATGTTCTGATTTTGTATAATGAAAAGGGAAATCTTCAGAAAAGTTCTAATATTTTCGAAAAAGTTACACTTTAGTCCCAAGATTTTTTTTTGAACGAAAAAGTCCTGAAAACCGGCAAAAATTTGCAGTTCGACCCTTTTTGACTGGTTGAAACCGGTACCAAATTAATTTGGGACTATTTCGTAAACTAACCCAAAATATAGGGACTTTTCTGTAAACAAAAAATATTATGATTTTTCTGTAAACGAAAATATTAGGACTTTTCTACAAACAAAACCTTTATTATTATTATTATTATTATTATTATTATTATTATTAAAAATATAAATACGATTCGAACATGTTATTATTAATATTGTTACTAATACATATAAATGCATTTAAATGAAAAAATAATATTAATGACATTATTTAATGGTGGAGGTGGAGGAGATGGTGATGCTTTTAGCATTGAAATCATGAATGTTTACTTGTATATATTACTTTGTATATGGTCATTTCACTTTTGTTATTATTGTTTTCAATTCAGAATAATAATACTTAACAATTTAAAAGAAGTTGCATATTTGTAAAATTGTTTATAAATAGTTTAAGGTAGAAGGATTTCTCACTTTGTATATAAAAATGTTTAACGTAGAAGGATTACTTTCCAAATCCAACAGATCCACTACAAACATCTACATAGGTAGCCCATATCAAAATTCAAAAATATTAATTACAATATCTTGATTGATAAAAAGTAATAGGATATGTTTTTTGGATTAATACTTTTGAATTTTGATTAATACTTTTGAATTATTCCTATTACTTTTTATTAAACAAGATATTGTAATTAATACTTTTGAATTTTGATATGGGTTACCTATGTAGATGTTTGTAGTGGATTTGTTGGATTTGGAAAGTAATTCTTCTACCTTAAACAATTTTATATACAAAGTGAGAAACCCTTCTACCTTAAACTATTTATAAACAATTTTACAAATATGCAACTTCTTTTAAATTGTTAAGTATTAATATTCTGAATTGAAAACAATAATAACAAATGTGAAATGACCATATCCAAGTAAAAATATACAAGCATACATTCACGATTTCAATGTTAAAAGCATCACCATCTCCTCCACCTCCACACTTAAACAATGTCATTAATAATATTTTTTTTATTTAAATGCATTTATGTGTATTAGTAACAATATTAATAATAACAAGTTCACAAAATAGTATTCTTATTTATATTTTTAATAATAATAATAATAATAATAAAAATAAGGGTTTTGTTTGTAGAAAAGTCATAATATTTTTGTTTACAAAAAAATCATAATATTTTTTGTTTACAGAAAAGTCTCAATATTTTGGGTTAGTTTACGAAATAGTCCCAAATTAATTTGGTACCGGTTTCAACCGGTCAAAAAGGGTCAAACTGCAATTTTTTGCCGGTTTTCAGGACTTTTTCGTTCAAAAAAAAATATTAGGACTAAAATGTAACTTTTCTGAAAATATTGAGACTTGATTTTCCTAATGAAAACCTCTATCTTGCCCTCCATTCCCCTTATGTTTCTCTTCATAAACATTTTGCCATTATTAGAACACTTTTCCGAATCACATAATACATAAGTATCCCTTAGAATTTGTCATAAGTTCATTAGAGATCCCTACTAGTCACTTCGTTACCAGTAATTTGCAAGCTGAATGGATTCAAACCACAGAAAAATCAAGTAATTAAGTAATATATTTATAATGTCACCATTTTTTGCAATTAGAATATACTTAGCACCACAAGTTAACGTTATAGAGCTCGAATAACAAATATTGTCTCCAATTCATTCATATGATCATAGAAAGGCACTGAAAGAATTTATACTTGATTTGGATCCCACATGCAAAAGTTACACAATTTACAAGTATTAATAACAAGTTTTTAATTGGTTGCGTATATCATGCCTTGCAAATCCGCTCCATCGAGTGGATCCACCGGACAACATCTCAAAGTTTAAGAACTTTTAAGCTCTTAAAACATGTCTAAACTAATCCTAACTTCCATCTTTTTATTCCTAATTGCCTTATAAGTTTAGCTAACATTCAGTTACTAGTTTTAAACAGTAGATAACATCTTAATTCATCATTAATCTAATGACTCACAAGCTAAAAATAAAGATCTTGTGATTTAGATTCTTAATTTCTTAAAATGAGTCCATGAGCTTCATTATAAATGATTAATCATCTATAGATGCGATTTGATTCCAAATGATAATTTCATTTGATAACTTCAAACTAAATTAGTGAAATAGGTTGATAAACCAACTAATAAAACATATGTATATGCGAATTTAGATTTAAAATCATCAAATGATCTCATGAACTCCAAATTTAGCTTGAACTCATGCATTTTACAAATTAGAAGTTGTTAGCCTTATGTTTTAATTCCTCTATTAGGTATGAGACCCCAAAGCACAGTTCTAATCTAATTTAATCATCGGTTCCATTATATCATGTTAGAAATTTGGGTATAGAAAGGCTTGAAAATTCTGAGAATTGTGATTATCACTTTCAAATCGAAGTATTTGGGTGGTACTCCCAAATCCTCAATTGGATAAGACTCAGAGAGACAAGAACAAAGAATGTTTGATGATATTTTTGTATGTACTAGAAATGAGATCAAAACCAACTTTAAGATATTTGTCTGAAAACTGTCATATAACAGTTTTAAACTGTCATAAAACCATAAAAACTGTCATAAAAACGGATATATGGATAATGGTCAAACCAATGGTCAATTATCGACCCCAGCCAGAGGCTGCCGCCCCTTGGACCCCGCTCCCAGGGGTGCTACCCCCGGACCCCCGTTCGTTCAGGGGCTTCGCCTCTAAATGACAGTGTATTTTGAAACTTGATCAAACTTAAACAAGTGTGTACTCCACACCTTCCTTACTTGTTTAATATTTATCAAGATCACTTTTGGTCAACAAAATAATCTCATTACACTTAAATAACATTGATGATAATTGATAACAAATCACCAACATATCATAGATTAACATTTCATTAATCTAGGCTTATGAACGTCAAAACAACTCAAGAAGTTGATATCAAGCAACACCAATGAATGTTTTTGATAATTAAAGTGTAAATGCTTCGATAGAACTTCAATTAAGCATCTAATTCACTTTTTATCTACAAAATCATCACTCCAAACTCATCATGTTATGAGAAAGCATCTAATTCACTTTTTATCTACAAAATCATCACTCCAAACTCATCATGTTATGAGAAAGATATAAGGGAGTTCGGGGGTTTATATTCTTAACTTTTCCAACTTGACACTTATGGTCCTTCAACTTTCTATTTTCTTCATTTGGCCCCAAATATAACCCTCATTAATGACTAGCTTTTTATATTTACTAAATCTACCCTACCGAACTTATTTAATAACAAAAATTAATCCAAAAAAGTGGCTTCACCTAGTTTTTCCTAATTTAATGAA